AAATTGTCTTCGAGACAAAACAGTAACATGTAAATTTCCAAGTGATTTTTATGAAGAAACTTTAGTTACAGCATACATGGGTGATTTTAAAAAATGAACATGTTCAAAAACATTCGGTGCAAGAAAATTTAGAAACATTCGAACACAAACGCTTAATATCGCAAGGAGATTTTAATTAGTTCTTGTTCAAGGAGCTAATGTCAAAGCCTATTTATCAGAAGATTTTTCTGTTATGAAAATTCAAAAAATATCACAAATCTACTTGTTCAAGTTGTGAATCTACCGATCATCTTCATTCACAATGTCGATTTTGTAATTTTACTTGTCACAAATGTAACAAAGAAGGTTACATTGCTAAAGTTTGTCGTTCAAAAAGAACTTCAAATAAGAACAAGATTAATACTATATTTTCTGCAAAACATGAACAAATTACAGATGAATATCCAATACGAATCCCTATTGAAATCGATGATTTCAGTGTTACATTTGAATTAAATACAGGTTCTCGCATCACAATCATCAATAAATATATATGAAACAAGATGGAAAAGTCAAATTTATAACTTGTTAAATCAAGTTATAGTAGTTTTTCTGAACATTCTATTCGTCTGAAGGAAGAGAAAATGGTCAAGATGAATTATAATGATCAAAGTGTTCGATTAAAACTTTTAGTTGATGATAGAAATCGATATAATATTATTGGTTATAATTGGATTAACACTTTACATTTAAACAAAACAACATTAAATGATATTATTTCTAATAATACAATTCTTAATGTTAATTCTGAAATCGAAAATTTCAATCAACTTATGAATAATTATAAAGATATTTTCAAGGAAGGATTAGGAAGTTTTAAGATGAAAAACTCATCTTTATGTTAAACCAAGTGTTACACAAAAGTTTTATAAATCCAGATCGTTATCATTTACATACCAACAACCTGTCGAATCGGATTTAGATCGACTTGTCTCTGAAGGTGTATTGAAATCGGTTAATATTGCTAAATGAACAGCACCTATTGTCGTAGTACTGAAACCTGGTGGTAAAGTATGAATATGTTCAGATTTTAGTACAGATGTAAATCAATCTTTGGATATTAATCAGTATTCACTTCCAAAACCAAATGGATTTATTTGTAACACTTAATCACGATACTCAATTTAATAGAATTGATTTTTCAGAAGCTTACTTACAAGTTGAATTAGATGATGAAAGTAAAGAATTATTAATACTCATAAAGATTTATTTCAATTTAATCGATTACCATTTGGTGTTGCTTCTGCACTAAGTATCTTCCAGAAAATTATGGATTAAATGTTAATAGATCTAGAGAGTACTGTCTATTATTTAGATGATATTATTATTATTACAGGAAAGAATAAAATTCATCATTTAAATAATTTAAACAAGATGCTTACAAGAATTAAGAAATATGGATTCCACATTAATAAAGGTAAATGCACATTTCTTCAAGATTATGTAGAATATTTAGGTTTTATTGTGGACAAAAATGGTGTTCATACATCTCCATCAAAAATAAAAGCAATCATCAACATGCTCAAACTAACTATTATTACTCAACTACGTTCATTTTTGAGAATCGTTAATCATTATGCTAAATTCATTCCAAAATTAACCGATCGTTTAATTCCTTTTTATGCATCATTAAGGAAAGATATTCCACGGACATAGTCTCTAGTTTTGTGATAAAGCTTTCAAAAATATTAAACAATTTCATACTTCTCCACTTGCATTAACACATTATGATCCTTCTCTTCCATTGGTTTTAGCAATGGATGTATCAAATACAGGTGTAGAAGCAGTAATTTATCATCGTTATTCAGATTGTACAGAAAAAGCTATTGTTTATGTATCCAAGACAATTACACAAATGAAGAGTCGTTATGTACAAATTGAAAAAGAAGCTCTTGCTATTATTTATGGTATTCAAAAATTTGATCAATTTTCATGAGGTCAAAAGTTTACACTTCTTACTGATCATAAACTATTACTTACAATTTTTGATCAAAAAAAAAAAAAAAAAAGGTATTCCTACAACGTCAGCTAATCGTCTTCAACGTTGGGCTATTCGTCTTATGGATTATACCTATGATATTGAATATTGTTCAACAAAGAATTTCGGTCAATCTGATGGATTTTCTTGCCTACTGATCGGATCAGGTACAAGTTTTGACAAACAAGATCCTAGTGAAGTTCATCTTATTGCTTCAATTCAACAAGAAAATCAAACTGAATTATCTCTTCGTATGTCACATATTGCTAAAGCTACTCGAAGAGGTCCACTTCTTATGCATGTTTATCATTATGTACTCTCAGGCTGACCATCACAACATCCTGAAAATTTACAACCTTATTTTAGAATTCGTAATGAACTTTCTACATCACATGGATGCATTATTTGGGATGTTCGTACAATTATTTCAACCTGTTTTAGGAATCATTTTCTATATCATCTTCATTCAACATATTCTAGTATGAATAGAATGAAAACAGAAGCTCGACCTTATTTGTGGTGGTCTTCACTTGATAAAGACATCGAAGATCTTACTCGTCAATATCAAAGTTGCACGGAAAATGCAAAACAACCTGTTAAAGCTCCATTACGACAAAGAAATATT